GCAAGGAGCAGAAAAGAGGAATTGCTTAGAATTGGAATTGCACTGTCATTCCAGAACGTCCAATATCTGTGACCATGCCCAACTCAGTGAAAATTTATACCTGGGATGCGGTTTCCATTATGTCATTGAATGCAGATGATTTCCAAGTGTACGTCTTGAATGTTTTTCTCCTTTCTGAGTTAGAAATATCTTCTATTTTCTCTTTCAGACATCAAGCCATGGCAACTGGGGATCCTGGGGGCCCTGGGGCCAGTGTTCTCGCTCGTGTGGGGGAGGAGTGCAGTTTGCCTATCGCCATTGCAATAACCCTGCACCCAGAAACAGTGGTCGCTACTGCACGGGGAAGAGGGCCATCTACCGTTCCTGCAGCGTCACGCCCTGCCCACCCAACGGTACGCTGCTCCCAAGTGTCAGCAACCCACCATGTGCGACTCGTAATATGTATTCTAGCAGTAATAAATAAAGGAGGCTTTTATTTATTTATCTATTTATAAAATAGATTTTATTTATCTATTTATAAAATAGAGTATTAATCTTGTACTTCACAGTTCCACCAGTGTGCGAATTAATAACAGATGCATGAGTGATTTTTAAACGGTTATTAAAAGCAACTCGGTATTCAGAGAGTAGGAAGAAAATAATGGTTGTTTTCAACTCCATGTACAGATAAGACCCTTCCACCCTTGTGTGTCAAGAGGCTCGCAAAGAAAGAAGTTTGCGCCTTCTCCTGAAAATTATTTAAAAGCACAAGATTATGTCTCAGGTTCAGAGTAGGTAAAGTAATCGCATGACCTGTTTGTTTTTTAGGGAAATCTTTCCGTCACGAACAGTGTGAGGCCAAAAATGGATACCAGTCTGATGCGAAAGGAGTCAAGACATTTGTGGAATGGGTCCCCAAATACGCAGGTGTCCTGCTGGGGGATGTGTGCAAACTGACCTGCAGAGCTAAGGGGACTGGTTACTACGTGGTGTTTTCTCCAAAGGTAACTGCCCACCGCCTGTCCAGAAGCAGTGGAGCCTTGCTGGAGATCATTTGGTAGAATAAAACCTAGAGCTAGTAAACAGTCATTATTCCTGGGGTGGCTAGATTTTGGAGGGTTTTCTTTTCATCTCTAGAAGGTCTATGTTCTCAAACCTTACACAAAGAACAAGAAGTTATTCTGTACAAACAAAACAAGTCAATATTTCAAAAGCTACTTTTGAAAAGCGTAGCTCTCTGTCAGGGAAGGTGTGGTTTGACTTTAACTTCAAAATAAGCATGAAAACAACTAGAATTTCCGAGGTATGTTTGTATGGGGAACTGAAAGCAAGAAAGCTTTCTATTTTTCCATTGTTTAATTAAGAATTCCTTTGGCGGGGCACCTTGGGTGGCTCAGTCGGTTAAGCGTCCGACTTCGGCTCAGGTCATGGTCTCGCGGCTTGTGAGTTCGAGCCCCGTGTCGGGCTCTGTGCTGACAGCTCAGAGCCTGGAGGCTGCTTCAGATTCTATGTCTCCCTCTCTGTCTGCCCCTCTCCTGTTCATACTCTGTATCTCTAAAAATTAAGTAAACATTTAAAAAAAAATTTCCTTTGGTGATTCATGAAGGTCGGTTTCAAGATCATCATCTCTGACCCAGACTGTTAAATGTCTTACACCCATAATATGAATTCATATCCCTATAGTTAGATGCGTTATGATATATGTGCATGAAATGATCCCTCATTTATCACAGGAAAGCATTTGCTAAGTTACTAACAGTTTTATTTCTCACAGTGAATGGTATGCAGCAATTTAAAATACTGTTTATCTAATTTGTAAACAGGTGCTGCATTTAAAACTACCTCTGAAATTGGCCTTCAGATATGTGTGACATACTACTGAAAACAGAAGTTAACATCCACCTTAAGTCATTTTGAAAATATTTTCTCTTTTCATTGTAAAATAATACATTTTCGGGGTGCCTGGGCGGCTCAGTCGGTTGAGCGTCCGACTTCGGCTCAGGTCATGATCTCACGGTTTGTGCGCTCGAGCCCCGCGTCGGGCTCTGTGCTGACAGCTCGGAGCCTGGAGCCTGCTTCAAATTCTGTCTCCCTCTCTCTCTGCTCTTCCCCCGCTCATGGTCTGTCTCTCTCTCTCCTTCAAAAAATAAATAAAAAAGAATTTAAAAATTTTTAAGAAAAAAATAATAATACAATTTCATTTAAAAACTGTGACAAATAAGATCACCTGGAAATGCCACCATCTGGAGACCTGTGGGTCTGCTGAAGTATACCCCACTTCACTTTGCATACATATACACACTCACATACTCACACACATATATGAAAATAGTAGTAGATACCCAAATGCAAAATACAAGTTTATTTATACATGTGACTACATATGCTATTTATATACGCTCACATGCACAAACCACAGAGTGCATATTCATACTATTTTATAGCTAGTTTTTAAAATATATACTATTTTTGGGTGTGATTCCTTCACTCCAAATGTATTCAGTATCTTCTAGTAAGTACTTTGCTCTGACTTCCCCAGACTCCTTTTCTGCACTAATATGTTTGTGTCTATTTCAATATCTGACTGTTCAACACACGATAGGGCATGCTTTTCAACCACAAGGAGGTTTGGATGTCAAGTGTAGACTTTCAAATGCATCACTAGAGTAACAATTATGCCACCAAGAAGGATCTCTGCCATCTTTTTTTTAAACTTTGTAAAATGTTTATTTATTACTGAGAAACAGAGAGAGACAGAGCATGAGTATAGGAGGGGCAGACCAGAATCCGAAGCAGGCTCCAGGCTCTGAGCTGTCAGCACAGAGCCCAGGACGGGGCTTGAACCCACAAACCGCCAGATCGTGACCTGAGCTGCAGTCAGATGCCCAACCGACCGAGCCACCCAGGCGCCCCAGATCTCTGCCATCTTGAGCTTGCTCATTTTCCGCACAAGGGACACGTCCCACATGCGAAGTGAAACGATCGTTTCTAGCAATGTAAAAAAGCGAGACGATACCATGGGAACATTCTCGGGATACAGAAAGGGAGAGGACAACCTTGAGTCTCCTGGCACATTTGGAATTAGGCTCAAGAAAGAAAGTGCATAACTGAGATTTATCTCAGGTCTTCCTTCTGCCAATATGTCGAGGATGTTTCGGTTAGATACTCCTGGGAACTATGCTTTTTCGGTTGTTTGTTCATTTCTCGATGTACTGTCCCGATCAAACTCAAAACTCAACGAATTAGGACTTGCTCTCTTACCGTGCAAACCAAACCACCTGGGCACAAGTATCTCCCGCCGCTAACGTGAGCCTCGTTATTCAGGTGACGGATGGGACAGAATGCAGGCCGTATAGTAACTCTGTGTGCGTCCGGGGGAAGTGTGTCCGGACTGGGTGTGACGGCATTATCGGCTCCAGGCTGCAGTATGACAAGTGCGCAGTGTGCGGGGGAGACAACTCCAGTTGCACCAAGGTGGTCGGGACCTTCAATAAAAAAAGGTGAGGAGGTAGAACCCTTGCCCTTACGTGCATGGAACAAAGCTTTAGCCTTGAGAAACTGAAAGGGTGACTCATGCTACGTCATGAGCCATCCGTGGAGGGGTCCAGCATGGCTCCAGTAACATAGTTCTCAAGTCCACTTGAGAACCAGGGAGGGAGATGAGAAAGCTCTGGTTGCAGAGCCGGAGCTCCTGGTGCCTCTGGTGGCAAATAAACCGCAATGGCTCTGATCAGGGTCAAGGTCTCTCAGAGTGGGAACACCCAGAAGGAAAAGTCGGTGGGGTCCCCGCTAGCCATCTCGCTATTTCTGAAGCATCTCTTATTTCGGAAGCATAATTTAGGGAAGGATGGCCCGTTTGCATCATAACGATTTCACTTTACAAAGGATTTTTCATTAGGCTGTATTTTTCTTGAGAAGACCTGTAAGTTAACTGGGGTGATGGAGACAGCAATCCCATTTTATAGTGACCTCTGCAGGTTTAAATCTTCTCTATAAAGAAATATATGCAGTAACGTCTGCTTCCTGTCATGGTCCTTGATTATGCTTTTGTTTTAAGTATGTAAATGTATAAAGTATCCAGTTTTGGAGGGGGGCGTCTCAGTGGCTCAGTCCGTTCAACGCCCAACTCTTGGTTCTGGCTCAGGTCCTGATCTCATGGTTGGTGGGTTCGAGTCCCGCATCGGGCTGCATGCTGATGGTGCAGAGCCTGCTCGGGATTCTCTCTCTCTCCCCCTCTCTCTCTCTCTCAGCGCCTTCCCTGCTCACTCTCTCTCTATCAAAATAAATAAATAAACAAAAAAATGATAAAAATAAAGTACCCAATTTTTGGCATGAAATATTATGTTATCAGCTAGGAGGACGGAGCAGGCTAAAAAGTCTGCTGGAATGCAGGATTGTCTTTCCCCTTTCTCAAAACACTCTTTCGCTGAGTAGTGTTGGCCCGGTACGCATGCATTCTTGATGTGTGTGCTGTGTTGTCTTTACCGGCAGGTAATATGCAAACCCGATTAACAATAAGGACTTATTAAAATAGTCACATGCCATGTTATTATGAACCACTGGAAATTATCTTTGATATAATAAAAAAATTGCATGTCTGCAGAATCTATTCTGAGTTAAAAGATGCATTACTAATCTTGTTTGCTAGCGATTCATCGGACTGTATTGAGCCATCTCTGTAAAATACCCTGCATGTCAATTACATACTGCATTTGTATATATTGCCAAGGTGCAAGACACCTTAGAAATGATGAAGTATACCTTTTTGTTTTACAAATGAGGAAATTGGGACTCTGAAAGTGTAGGGCTTATCTAATTTTGCACAGTTGTTAAATGCTAAAGCAAAGGCTATACCTTAGGTCATGAGATGAGAAGGCTATCTTGTTTAAAAAAAAAAGGAAGGGGAAGGGAAGAAGTTCAAGAATCAAATAAGAAATAAAATACCTTATGTACTATATGCTATGCATTTTTCCTACATAAGCTTAGAAGCCACTTTTTAAAGTACTAAATTTAGCATTTTGTCTCTGTATTGACAACCAATATCTGCATGTTCATTGTCACATGAAAAGATGAAGAAATTCACAGTAGCGATGAGTGGTGGGTGACACAACAGCTTGTCAGTTGATTTAACCAAGATTATATTGTGTGATATGACTGTTGAACTATTCCAGATAAATTACCTTGGTCAAATGTGACATATGAGAAAGGACATTGATCTTGGAGCTGAAATCTTGACAGTCAAGCTCTGACTCAGTGACGAACATCATGTGATCTTTGAAGAGTCGCTTTTATATATTTTTTACTGTCAGAATTCTTTTTTTTTTAATGTTTACTTATTTTGGGGAAAGAGAGAGACAGAGACAGAGCATGAGTGGGGAAGGGGCATAGAGAGAGGGAGACACAGAATCTGAAGCAGGGGCCAAGCTCTGAGCTGTCAGCACAGAGCCCGACACGGGGCTCGAACTCACGATCTGTGAGATCATGACCTGAGCCGAAGTCGGATGCTTAACCGCCTGAGCCACCCAGGAACCCCTACAATCAGAATTCGTGAGAGTAGAATGGAATTAATAGTAATTATCTTGCAAGTTAATATTGCTGTGTGCATCAGAGGAGATGATGCATATTAAAATATTTCAGCAAGCTCACACCTCTTGACAAATACGACCCTAATCTTAATTCACTCCTCCCTCAATGTTCCTCACCTCAGTAAATGGCAGCTCCGTCCTCCTCTTGCTCAGTATCAGGAGAGTAAGAGAATCATATTTTATTGAGGCGCTAAGAAATCAAGGCACTAGGCCTCCTACCTCCCGCTGCCTTGGGAAGGTCAGTCTCAAGACCTCCTGCAATGGCTGATAATCCCAACATTCTCACGAATATGAGGAACGCTAAGGAATAAGGATTTAAAACAAAAAAACAAACAAAACAAAACAAAAAAGCTCTCTTACCTGATTCCCTTACCCTTCATTCTTTATTTTCTTGACATCCTGTTCGGCGTCACTTAAACTCTGTATATAATCAGAACGTATTTTCCTGTAACGGTTATAAAGTATGACTGGCAGAGGTAAGGGTGTCGCACATGGGGATGTTGTGAAAGGAGCATAAAGTAAGAGTAAGGGGCCATGGCTTTGGAGCCCAGCACTGCCACCGGCTCTGGAGTGCACCTGTTCAAATACTGTAATATACCTCCACTTTATATGCTTCCTATGTAAGACGAGAGATCCTCCCCAACACCCCTCCAGGTTATGTTTCAGGCCACGGTAGGTTTGCCTATGATCTCTTGATCCTAGATATTTCAAAAAAAGTAAGGCCCGTAACAAATTCTAAGGCAAAATGTATTACAAAAATAAAAATAATGAGTCCAGTTGGATGGGTAAGCAGTATCATCAGCCTTGCATCTTCTTTCTCCCAACACAAAAGAAAGTGGCAGTCGCTGTCCATCAGATTCCCAACACACAAAAGGATTTCCCTGGGGAGGAGCCCCTCTCTGGATTCAGAGGAAATGCCTGGGCAGGGCAAATACCTTAGGGATTTTCAGGGTACAAATTAGTTGCCCCATAACCCCTCAACCTGAGTAAGAATTTAGCAGCAGATCATTAAATTTCACACACACCACACTACACGGGCAATTTGTTTCTATTCAAATAACTAAGAAAGTAAAACATATGGGGACCTTATTATCAAATTACTTTTGGAGGCAGAGATTTTCACAAAGATGACTCCTTACACGTAGAGTCTCTTGGTGCTCAATTAGCATTTCTGTCCTGGCCTTTTTCAAAAGCTGTGGATATTAGAGATATTGATGCCTTTGCCCATATTCTGGAGCATATGATGGGTCATTCGAGACCTACCTTATTTGTCACCCATCACATAGCCTCACTTTATCTGTCGTAAGTTTCATGGACACAGCATTTGAGGAAATTTGCTATGGCATCAAAGATTCACTTTTTTTTTGTTTTGATGATACTAGTCAGCGTTGGTTACCCACTTACAGAATTTTACATTCCATTGGTGTTCTGCTCAAATAATCCAGAGTTCTAGTAGAAATAGAAATAGAACTTCTACTGTGTCTCTAGTTCATCAGTTAAATCCGTGGTTCCCCAACTATTCTGCACATTTGGAACGACTCCCAAAATCCTGCTGTCTCTTCCCATCCTGACAGATGGGATTTAATTGGTGTGGGGTCTGGGGATTTAAATTTTTAAAAGACCTCTGCTTGATTTTAGTCTGCAGACAAATCTGAGACTCGTTAATTTAAATATTTCTATGAGATTGAGGGCGGATTTTTGTTAGTATTTACACATATCCCATTTTGTGACAAAAGAACATAAAGGAGCTTTGTAAAGATGATAGGTTTTGGTAAGAGTGTGCAATGTGTTTGAAAATCTAAATAAAGTTGGTGTACGTTTTAAAACGAAGGCAGGTTGTTAACATCATCCTAATTTTGAACATCACAATAAAAATGTATATACTCTCATAGTCTACTCACAATTTTATTTTGTTGTAAGGAAACTAATTTTTGAAGCCAATTTTAAACTAATCTCTTCACTACATTAAAACGTGTGAAGATAAGGTAAGACTTTTAGAGAACTCGTATTTGTTTATCCGTTTACTAAGTGTTTACTTATTTTTCCTTCTTTCTCTCCCTCTCTCTCCTCTGTGGACATTCCTGCTTCCAGTAAGGGTTACACTGATGTGGTGAGGATCCCCGAAGGGGCAACCCACATAAAAGTCCGACAGTTCAAAGCCAAAGACCAGACTCGATTCACTGCCTACTTAGCCCTGAAGAAGAAAAATGGTGAGTACCTTATCAATGGGAAGTACATGATCTCCACCTCGGAAACCATCATCGACATCAATGGAACAGTCATGAACTACAGTGGTTGGAGCCACAGGGATGACTTCTTGCATGGGATGGGCTACTCAGCCACGAAGGAAATTCTAATAGTGCAGATTCTTGCAACAGATCCAACTAAAGCATTAGATGTCCGCTACAGTTTTTTCGTTCCCAAGAAGTCCACCCAAAAAGTAAACTCTGTCACTAGCCACGGCAGCAATAAAGTGGGCTCACACACTCCACAGTTGCAGTGGGTGACAGGCCCATGGCTCGCCTGTTCCAGGACCTGTGATACGGGCTGGCACACCCGGACGGTCCAGTGCCAGGATGCAAACCGGAAGTTAGCGAAGGGATGCCTTCTCTCCCAGAGGCCTTCTGCGTTTAAGCAATGTTTGCTAAAGAAATGTTAGCCTGTGGTCATGAGCTTACGCAGAGCTAACTGGATGATTCATCACTGATCGGTCGTGGCAAATGGTGGTGATCAATCATGGTAAACAAGAGGTCTACCTGAAGCACAGAAAGTCACGCTTCAATGTCATTGTCAACAGGAGTCTAATTATGGGCAGAATCTGCTCTCTGTGACCAAATGGAGATGTGCACTGCTTTGTGCGACAGTAGTGACCTTGGAATACAGAAAAACTTGGGAGTTATTGAACATCCCCTGGGCTACAAGAATGAAAAAACACTGGTGAATGTAGAATCAGGGGACATTTGAAGATGGCAGAACAGTCTCCCCTTTGTCACCTACCTCTTATAGAATGTCTTCAAAGGCATCATAATCATTTTCATCCATAATACACAGTAGCTTATTTTTACTGTTTGTAAATCATTCTCCCTTGGTATGTCACTTTATATCACTTGGTTCTATTAAAAAAAATATA